CTTGCCAAAGACAGGGGCAGGGGCGATATACCTTTGCAAAGTCTGCCTACAGGCCTCGCAGGCCATGGCATGAGGTGCCACAGTATCCCGGTGATGTGGGAGCCGCAGAAAAGGACACCCTGGCAGGCTTCCAAGGCTGGCATCTCTGCTCAGCCCTGTCAAGGGGGGAATTCGACATGTAAGCAATCCACAGGTCCGCGAGCAATAAAACTAAAGTCCTTTATTGCTACTTATCTACAAGATTACAACTCTACAGATAAGCCCTACTGTTGATGTCTTTACAATGCAGATGCCAATCCTTTAGTGATGCCTCTCCCTGAGCCCTAGCTCTGCTGGCCCCACCTTGCTTCACTCTGGTGTAACAGGGCCTGTTTTTGCTCCCATCTCCTCAGAGTCTGCGATTGGATGCTAGAGAAAAGTCTACCAGGCCCCCTGCGTTCTCCCTGTTGTGCTCAGGAAGTTCAGCGTCAGTAGGGAGAGAGGCAGTCTGCTCTAACTCTTTCTGAGCAGAACTCGTAGTGCCTTTTCCCTCGGGGCTCTCTTGCTTTGCTGCGGGCTCGGGTGTTTGCTCAATGGGCGTGGAGTCAGGGTGAGGTACATCTCTCTGCTCAGCCACCCCCAAGCTAGGTTGTGGGGTTGGCATTTGGGTACAGGGTCCCAAGCACAAGACCTCCTCGTGAGGTGCTGCCTCTGTCGGGGCTTCAGGCACAACAAGCCCTCAGCGTGCATTTCCGGCGGCCTTCTACGGCTGCCGGAAATTATTCTACGGCCTTCTGGGCAGCAGCAAGTGGCCATGGGATAAATCCCAAAATCAATAAAACAGTGTGTTTTAAAGTTCTAGCTATCTCTGTGTGGCCTTTATCTGCTTGTATTTGCTTTGTCGATTTCTCTGCCAGCTTGTTATTCCAGATCTGTTAATACCAAAGTCCTAAGGATGGTTAGGACTCTGACTTCTAGTTCCCGATGATTGCTAAATGTGCTGCTACAAACATGATAACTTCCTTCAAATGTACAAAACAAAACTCTTTTCAGATCACACTGTTATCTTTTGGCACAAATCAGTTCAGAGTATCTTGACCTTTCCTCATAAAAAAAACAAGGTACTCAAGCCTAATTTTTAATCTACATAACATTTGCAAGTTTAGAGAGCAATCCTATTGTCCCTGAGGAATAACCTCATAAGCCTTATGAAGTTGGAGACTTTTGAAAATTCAGTGGGAGGTGCATGGCGTGATGATATTCATCATCGTTGCACCTCACACCCTGTATTTTATCGAGATGGTCATTTTTGGACATCTAGATTTAGGAATGATGCAGGGGACAGAATTTGCACAACCCTGTGGCCCCAGGCTTCTCTGCCCCCCTGCCTCCCCCAGCACGTTCCCTTTCCCCCCTCCAAGGCCCGGTTGCAGATTGAGTTGGGGGAACAGCTAACATGATTCTTTCCTTGCCAGCTGCTATGGACTGAGGGGGCGGACGCAGTGTTCAGACTCAGGCTGAAGGACTCTGGTGCTTAGGCTCCACACAACCTTATAGTCTCTTGGAGGATGTTGACGAGCATGAGTTTGTGCCCTTCATGATTTGTGGAAGTTGCTTTATACCTGTTGAGAAAGATACTGTCTCTAGTGTATTTACATACTTGTAAATACACAGGTGGATACTGACTGCAATGGCTCTTTACATCCTAAGTCACTATTTCTTGGAATTTAAATGCCCTATTACTATGTTGGTTCAGTTAGGTTCCTATGCCCAAGCCTCTGTATTTCCAGTTGATTTGTCTGCAAACGTGTGGGGTGGTAGTTAGGGTGCTGGACTGGGGATCTGGGAAATTTGGGTTCTAGCCCTGACACAGCCCTGGAGCTCACTGGGTGATCCTGGGTCAGTCACTCCCTCTCAGCCTTAACCTACCTCACAGGGTTGTTGCTGCAAGGATAAAATGGAGCCATGTAAGCTGTCTTCAGTCCCTTACAAGAGGAAAAAGGTGGGGTAGAAATCTATACAGATAAATGCAGAATAATATTAATGCTTTTTGTGGGTCTACAATTTTGGAGTAAGAATCTGATTGTACTAACATGTTTTCAAGCCATGTGAGAAGACTTGTTAGCTGTTTACTTGGGATGCATAATAAACTGTGTGACCTGATACACTTGTAGCTCCTTTATTTTTTTTCTTCCCTAAGACACAATCCTATGCAGACAAGCTTAGACAGAAAATGTTTTGCAATTCCCAGCATTCCCTAACCAGCAGTGCTGAATGAGGAAAGCTGGGAACTGCAGGACTTCGCAGTCTAAACATGCATAGGATTGTTTCCTTGGTTGTTCTGCAACTTGTCCCCCTGAAAGACACACACCACTTTGTAGAAATCATTCAGTTTCTGTGTTCCTTCCACTTCTTGCATATTATATGGATAGAGTTTGGCTGTGACATAGAAGATGGGATGGTGCAGAACTTCATATCCATAGCGAGCTCCTCCAAAAGGGACATGCTGCTGTACCTAGCGCTTTAGGGTCTTGAGCAAGGCTGGCAAGTCACACACTGCCTTGATGAGATTCATCACCTGGTAATTTAGCATTATTAGTGTGCTGGGATCAGACCTTTGCTACCATTTCTCCAGGCATCTTAGTAGGGTTTAATTCAGGTGTCCTATCTCAGTGGATCCCTTACCATGCCTTTGACTTCTGGGTGAGCTACCTTGCCTTTTGCTTGGCTCGATTTTGGCTTCCTTTGAACTGGCCTCTCTCCATCCTTCCCTTGCGCCCAGCAGCTCCAAACCAGCATCGGGAAACTGATCGCCACCTTCTTTGAGCGAAAAAGATACCTATCGCCACCTAGTGTCAGTTAGTGGGAATGTACACTAGCTCTTTGCGTTTTTTGCCAATTTCCAGGGTAAAATATTGTTCCTAATTTGTACCTAGTTTGGCTACTGGGGTGACGTTGGGAATGGCTTTAAAAAAAAAAAGTTGATATAAAACACAGCACTCGCTATGATTTATTTAATGAAGGCATTTCTAAACAGCCTTTCTGAAAACCACCCACATTTTAATATATAAACTAATCAGAAAAGACAGTCCAACTGCAACTCTATGTGCAGCACTAAAAACCATGATAACAAATTTTCAAATCAAGTTTTGACGCCCTTCTGGAACACATGTGTTAAAAGGTTTTGGCTCTCCCCTGAGGCCCAATCTCTGAAGCAGAGAAAAGGTGGATGCCCGTGCGGAGAGCAAGAGTTGTCAGATGTTTGAGTGGCAGGTGTGTGACAAGCCAGCTTTCCCCAGGCTGGTGCCTTCTGAATATGTGGGGCTACAACTCCCATAATCAATCCCTTGCTGCCTGGGAGTGATGGTCCAACACATCTGGAAGGATGTACTATGTACAGTCAGAACCTTGTTAAAATTAAGTATTTTAAAATGTATGGAAATTTGTCTTAGCTTCCATGTGTACTATTTCTGCAGATCTGAAATCGAGGCTGATTGATCAAACATGGTATTTCATGTATATTGGACACCACAGAAGAAGCTGCTCTCGCTGTTCGATGCTTGTGATGTCATGTGGATAGCGCATTGGTAAGGCTTATATTAGGTATAATAATTCTGGCCTGGGGTGGCTTCTCTCTGGATGGAAGTTACTGCCTGCATAAAATTTTGTTCTTGCAAGATCTATAATAATTGCAGAAGTACACATGCTTTTAAAGTATTTCTGTGAAGTTGGGTGAACAGAAGGACAGCAAAAACGGACTTGGAAACCTCTAACAATTGCAAAGACTATTTCCAGGTTGAAAGCTGAAACACTTAGTGCCTATAATGCAGCGGTCTGGAGACCTTATTGCTCTTGCTATATTTTCATCATGAATTTCTTAACAATCATCAGCTGTATTTATATTCTTACTGAGATATATGGTCTCCTTATATTCGCATATATATTTGAAACAACAGTGTTGAATCTGTTGTTCCTTGTAAAAAGCAATGGTCTTGTGACTTGTTATTGGGAACCGGTATGCTTTTTGTTGTGGTTTCTTTTGTTATATTGCAAATAAAAGAGAGAAAGAGAGAGAGAGAGAGCTGGCTATGAAAAGAATGCTCTTATTTCAAAGGAAATGCAGACAAGCATGTGGTATGCCTGGCCCCACTTGCATAACTGGTTTTAAAACCAAATTTCAAGAGCTTTTCTCCCTCTCATCTGATTATCATCATAAAACTGTCCTAGATTAATTTAGATGAACTTTTCTGCCTCATCAAAATGACAGAAACACATTATTTTAAAAAAAGTTGAAAGATGAAATCAGCATATTTAAATATGCTAATATACACAGGTGAATTTAGAAACAAAAGCTATAATTTCAATGAAAGCACAACACATCTCCCTATAGTGGGGAACACTGTGACCTTAAGTTGATTAATTGGAAGGCAGCAATTTTAATAGGAGAGTGTGCGCCAAATTTAGTGGAGCAAAATTGAAGATACCCTTCGACTGGGGTTATGTTACTTTTCATGTGCTCTTGTAAAAGGAGTTTTTATTTTCCTTCCAGCAATGGTGATTACGCTGACTTCCTCAGCCTGGTGACCTCCAGCTCTATAGAGGTGTGACTTCCATCATTCCCACTCCACAAGCCACTAGCTAGGTCTGATGGGAGTTGCTGTTCGTGCGGCACCTCTGGAGGGCCCCAGATCGCATAAAGCTGCTGCAAGGTCTCCTGCTTTAAACAAACCCCCCTAAAAGTAGTGCTGGCTCCCAGTTTTGAGCACCACAGGCAAATGATGCTCATCAGGCTGGCTGTTCTTAGCAAGTCGAACCTGTCACTGATGGCTCTTCATTCTTGTTATTGCCACCACTTGCTTGCTTGGCAGATGGAGAGACGCAGATGGAGTCACTGCGAAGTCACTTGCAGTGGTTTGGAGATCTGTGTCTGCAGCTGGCGAGTCCATGTGACGTTCCAAAGGTATCCCTAGGTTTCAGCTCCTACAGAGCTGTAATTAAGCAGGACATGTTGGACCCCGTTGTATATTTGTTATGGTTTATTTATTTATAGGCAGATCACTTCACTATTTACAGTACATGAATGTAGAGATTCTACAGTCTTTGTGATGTAAACAAGTAACTCCACAGCAGGGGAGTCTCAAAAAGAAGCCAGTTCTGAAGTATTTACACAATTTAAAATAGAACTTTTATATATCCACCAGATAGATATAGAGAATACATTGAGCAATTTGGTTAAATCATCTACGAAACTATAGAATCTGACAATGTAAAAATACAAGAAAACCTTATCTCATTTAGAAGGTAGACGTTGAAATCACACTAGAAATAAATCTTTTTTTAAAAAATGACAATAACAAAGGAAAGGCATAAGAATCTATGCCAATTAAGGTTAAAGTATATTACATAAATAAGGACACAACAGAACACAACTGGGGGGAAATTAAGTGAAATATAAAAATCCTCTATATTTTTTTTAAACAGCAAACTAAAAACTTGATTAAAAAAGGGGCCAATCCTGCTGCTTTTACTTACCCAGGAGTAAGTTGCCACTTAGTTAATACATGTAAAAGAGTAGCAGAATTGGGCCCTTCTAATTATTAACAGTGTCCTTTTCAAAAACAAAAACAAAAAAGTAAAATCTAGCTTTATTATAAATAACAAATAGCAAATGTGCCCCTCTTTTAGGTGAAATTCTTACACCTTTGCAAGAAATGCATCAATTTAGTCTCCTTCACTCTCTCTGGCTCACATACACTCATAAACACACATTGCAAACAGTAGTATTAATTTATCATTTTCCAACTTTCTCATAAATAATGCCTCCTAATGTACGGACTGCCATATAAAAAGCAGACACTCCTGGGGTTTGTCTTGCTACTCACATCATACAAAGGTTCTTCCATGAGGAAATGAAAAAAGCGTACTAGTTGTTGTTGGTGTTGTTTTTAACATCACTATAAAGTGATGTTAGACATCACTGTTTGGAACATTCAGCACCCCGACCCAGGGGCTCGGGCACCTTCTGATGCACACAGGGCTCCGTGCAAAGGGGGCTGCCCATTCTCTCCCATGCTGTGAAATGCTTTCAGGGATGGGATTCCCCATTCTTAAGCAAAATGGGGCAGCCCAGCTTTTGTGGAGCTCTGTGTGCACATTGGAGCATAACCTGGGATGACGTGCTCCTCCATGCATTCCAGGGACAGAGGAACCTCATGCTGATGCATGCAATGTGGCCTGCCTTGTTGCCCCTAAGCTGAACCTCAGGGTGACAGCACGATCTGTTGCTGCCTTTATTTGTAGGGATTCACATCAACCAGAATATGCCGTCTTCTTGCTTAACAGTGGGACATATTGGCTTAGTCTGCACCAAGGTTCTCCCTATAACCTTCTCCCTGACGTGCTTGTTATCCATATGTAAGGAATGTATGGATCATGTGAGCCCAGATACGTGTTGTCAGTGACACCTAAGCTACAGAGCCTGATGCTAGATGCATCACATATATTATGGCTTGTGTGGCTGTTACATTTCTGTAGCACTTAACCTACAATAAATTAGTTTTAACACACTGTAGCTGCTGACCTCCAGTGTATTTCCTTTACCCAGTGCTAATGGCAGATTAGCGGTCATCTGGAGGTGAAAAGCAGAACGCACAGACCCGTCTCACTTGGGGTGCGGACTGCAACTGAGGTACAGTGAGGTACCTGCAATCATATGTGAAAACTTTATGGGTGGATCAACGACCACATAAAACAATTCATGAGGATCAGCGATCGTGGGAAAATGGTCTCAAAGTATACACATGAGAATGGGGCCAAAGCAAACAGCTCTTTGCAGCATCTTCATAAAAGACGTAAATGCAAAAGAGACGGCTTTGCATGCTCATATTGCTAAAGTCGATCACACGCAGACTACTTGGCTCTAAGACCAATGTGAAGAAATGCTCAGCTACAGATAGTGAGCAATTTGCTGGCAGCCATTTTGAATATTCAGGCTGCAAACATGGTTTGTCATGTTGACTAAGTCTGGGGTTATGTGAGAGTTAAACAATCCTAAAACAGGCTATGGGTTGTTTAATCCCTGCATAACCCATGGTCATGAGGTTCAGATGACATGACAAGCTGCTGACACATGGAAATTAGAGTCACAGAGACGCTCACAAACACACACAGACATTTTTCTAAGGCTTTTTAACACGGACTATTGAGAAAATCTACTCATGGAAATACATGCTGACTCTGATGTGAAGATGTCATGGAGGTAGCATAACTCAGATCAGTCACTTTGAGAGGAAATACAGGTTAATCATTTAGAGTGAGATTTGGAACCCAGTTCTTCTCTGTGCAGTCTTTTATGATGCTGTCTTTTTTTGTCCTCTGAATATTTCAGCTGCTGACTTTAGCAATACTGAGTTGTGTTACACATAAGACAGTGGTTATTAAAAGGACCAAAAATAAAGAAATGGCTTATGACTTATTCCTATCATTAAGGTATTTTTCCTGATTTACAAAATAAAAGGAAATTAGAAGAGGTTTCTCCCTGTCCCTCCCTCCCTCCCCCCCGCGCACGCACGCACACACGCACACGCACACACAGTTCTATTTAAAAAAATAAATGTCTCCCTCATGATTGCCTTTCTTAATACACCCTTTTATTCCGAAACACCCTGGAAAATGAATTCTCTTTCTTTATTTGGTTTCTTGCCTGTTCTTATAAAGGCGTGGCTTGTTCTGTTGCTCATTGTTATGGCTCGGCCTGCCCCTTGAACACGGGGATGCTGGCATTATGCATATTTCCAAGAGAAAGAACAGGATAAATTTAGGCAGACGTTGCAAAAGTCTATGTGGAGAAAAGTACAGGAGCATTCTTAAGCAGGGCAAAGGAAATGACCATTGAGATAATTAACTCCCTTCCTTAGCTAATCAGCAGCATTCTGCTATTCTTAGCCAGAGGGTTTCCATCTACTGTCCTTGTGAAGTTAAAATGAGCTGAATCGAACTACACAAAGGATGAACCTGCCCAGATATGTTAGTGGCAGGGATGGTTGCAATAAGATAAAGCTCATTTCAGTCCCTCCGTTCTAAAGAAAGATCAACTTTTCCTTTCCAGCTCCATGGCTCTAAACCGATTTTTCCCCAAGTTGTTAATATACAGAGAGTGGCTTCCAACTTAGTTATGGAGCCGCGGAGACTGCACCATGGTTTTTCAAAGTAAAAAAGGATTAGCTCCAGTAGCGGCAAATGCTTGCACAATTCTACAACTCACCATCCTGAGCACAGTACATTTGTGTCCTACTCAGGACTGTGAGGTCGATGACATCTCCAACACACACAGCTCTTTTTGTAGTGCGAGGCAAGGACGTGACCAGGCCCCAGCAGGCTGGTGGGATGAGCTTGGTTTGGTGTGTCACAACTTCTGTAAGTCTATGATTAATCCATCTGACATGGGAGTACAGAGCAGGACCTCTGCTCCACATATACAATTCTACTGATTTTTGTACCCTGCTACTGAATCAAGTTTTTGCCAGCAGTGCCATAGAGCTACATCCTGCGATGCATTTGGAACACTGCAGCTGGCAGCTGTACAAACAGAGGATCTTTATTGCACCCTGCTCCTCCTGGAAAGTTTTGATGCAGACCTCTTGCTTAAAATCCTCCCATCATAGACCACAACTTTCCAAGCTACAGGAAGTATAGCTCAGAAGAAAGGGATTTCACACGATGCTCCCTGTGTGGTTGAATCTAATACAGCTGTGCTTCCGTTAGCCATTTCAATAAGCCACAGGTAGTACTGGTGCGCCATCACCAGCATGAAATGTGCGTGCTTTTCAAACCGTGTCACTCAGGTTCTACATTCAACACTGCTGAATTTGCAGCTGTTGCTGTGCCCAGCAGCAGGGAAAGGGGCTCAGGGCCCCTCCATTACCTTCCCCCTGCTCCAATACCTGTGTGCGTTTGTGCACATGTGTGCATATTGCATAAAGTCCAGTGAAGTTACTTGCAAAAAATAATAATATTAATAATATCTTTTTATAGGCTTCAGGCAACACAAAGACCACTTATTGCACCTCTCCCTATACATAGGATTGAGAGGCCGTGTGCGTTACAGGATCTTCCTTCCTCTTCCAAAAAGAGCATGCACTTCCATGCTCTAATATGATTGGCAAGTCCATCCTCTTGAAAGTAATGTGAGAGATAAAACCAGGTAAATACAAAGTCATGTTTGCAAGCGACTCGCACTGAAGGCAGCTCCTTCTGGATAGCAGAAGGACTCTCTCCACCTTCCTTTGCAGCTGCATTCAACACTTTCAACATGCTTAAAATTTGATGCATTTTCCATCTCTCCGATCAAAGCCAACCGTGAACTTTGATCTACCCTTGTAACCAAGGCAGGAGATGGAAGAATTCCACTTGTTGGTTGTTGGGGTGGTTACTATTTTTTCTCTGTTGGATTGTTCTCTGAAAACGTCAGCACAGCACAGGACAGGACAGTCCTACCCACCCTAAATGTGTCGCTATGTACATTCTACAGTAAGCTCTATAGCAATCACATGTAAACATCATTGTGGTGAGGAAATACTAGGACAGAAAAAGGCAGAGCTACAATGAGGCACTTGTCAATAGCAGATGCTTCGTCAGGACCCGACTTTAGGGGAGGTTCTACGGGCCTTGCAACCTCTTGCGGTAAGTTCCTCAACAGTGGTGGCACAAGCGACATATTCACAGCTGGAACAGTGTGATGTATTTTTGCCAACAGCACAGAAAATTGTTGTGTTTGCTACCATGCACAATGAGCAGTGTTACTGTAAAATTAGAAGACAGAAATACTCACGTAATGAGGACTCAGTAACAAATGAGTGTTTGTTGATCTCTTGACCAAACACCCTTGATCTCTTTCATGGTGTTTGTAACATATACAATCTTTACTGAGTCGATGGAACTACTCAGCTTTAGGATGGCATGTTAGGCTTCAGCTGGGTTGTTGCCTTTGGTGATTTCTGTCTTTTTATTCAAAATAAATAGATATTAATGCCAGGGAGACCTTAAGGGAAGAGACTGGTGGCAGAATTAAGGCTATTGTATACTATCTACATGGGATGGCTGAATCCCAAAGGTCTCACCATGTTTGTGAAAAATAAAGCAAAGGCATGGTGAGCAACGGAGGACTTGACTTAGCAAGGTTATTAGGTCCCCACTGAAAAATGCTCTCTCTTAACAATTCTACTGGCTTCTAAGTTCTTTCTTTCATGTCCTGGACAAAGATAGCACAAAAGCACCCTTCTGTGCATTTAGCACAGTATACTGTCTCCAACAGTATATAATAATGTCTATAATCATTTGTCTCAAACATCCTAACTCACATTATGTTGCCTTCTTTTATGAAGACTCTTCAAGACCTGTAAGAAGCCCATCAAGGAAGAGGGCATCAGATGAGAGCCATGAGAAAGCCAAAAGGAACGGCATACAGTAACACCTATAACTTTCCTGGCAGGCAGTGGGAGAGAGAGAGGCCAAAACTCACTTCGCAGCGTTAACAGTAGCAATGACTGTATGTATTATGGCTTATTTGACTCTGCTTGCTGGGAGAGTAATGTACAAAACAGGGCAGAGAGTTAAGGGCCCGAGGCAAAGGACAAGATGATGCCTTCTCTCATTCCATGAACCAAAGCCACCTGGAGCGGAATCCTTCTTTGACGCTCGCCACGGAACAGCGTCCCCCACCACAACTGAAGACAACCTTGGGGGCTTCAGGCAGGCAGCATGGCCTACAGCAACCTCTCCCATCTTGCTGCTACCTCCCAGCACCTGCCGCCTGAGGCAACGGCCTCAGTCTGCCCAGTGAGGGGGCCAGCCCTGCCCATGTTCTGTTAGCCTCCTCTGAGCAAAGAGCCATCACGGTTGGCCCAGATGCAAAGACCTTTTTGACCCTTTCCTGTTGGTTCATGCAGAAAGAACCCCATGGTACCCCCCAGACAAGAGATCTTTTGCTTTGGTTAGATGACCAAATGGTTTTAAAAAATCCCACATTCCTGAGGCAACCAGTGGTATGACATATGGTCTTGAATAAATTGCCCCATGTTCCTGTACTTCAAACTCCCACCCTTTGTCTACTGAGAGCTGGTAAAACAACAGCTGCTATTGTGCTGCATGAAATGCTAAGGAACCATTGGGCATAATCCTCCCAGGGTGGCTCTCAGATCTTCTCAGTCTCACTGTCATCATGGATAAGTTTATGAGTGTCCACCAGTGCAGGCTCTAATGCATGCCTCCGAGAAGGAGCTGCTGAAGAGCCACGATGGTGAAGGACCACTGCCTTACAGGCTTTCCTGAGGCATCTGACTAGCCATCTGCCTGGTGGGGAACGTGATGTTGGACTAGACAGGCCTTTGGTGTGATTTGGCAGACATTTTCTTCTGTCCCATTTCCTGGGTACAGAAGATAGATGCAGCGTCATGACCTTGTGACCACTGCCATCCAGCATGCAGAGGGAGGAAACACAAACGTGTGTCTTCTCCCCCTCTCCCTGTCCATCTGAGAACTCCTTTCCTTTGCACTCTAGAGAGCGGAATCACGCCCACTGCATGGGACCAATGCCAGAGATCCCAGAATCCAGCTCATACAAATGAAATGAATGGCTTATACGGAACCTCACTCCGACACACCCTGGCTCATAAGGGCAGACTGAATGCTTCCCCTGGAAATGGATTCCCAGGACACCCTTCTGGACAGCTGCATCTGCTGAGGGGCAAGTGCCTCATTACAGTGCATAGTTAAAAATCAAGGAAGCGGTACAATAAATCTGAATTACAGTACATCTGAGCCATAAATACATTATAAGTATATATTTCTTTCTTCTATTAAAAATTAGTTTACAATCTTGATTCTATTCACAATTAACAATTTTATCATCACACACTACAGACAAAAAAAAAGTTATGGTGAACACAGCTGCAACTCCACGGCGAAAGTGGGGGAGAGGGGCTAGTTGGAGAAAGGGCAGACAAGAAGGGACAGGAGGCATTTGCAGGCTCATCCTAACACAACCAGTCAGAAGCAAAGCTACTAATGTGTGGCAGTGGAACGTCAACACCATGGGGACTCACAGACAGAAGCAGCTCGTTCAATGTAAACATCGATTTAAAAGGACAGCAGTCTCGCTCGCTCTCTCGCTCTCGTTCTTGTTGTATACTTGATCATTTCTTTGAAAACGTAAACATATTGGAAGTGCCTTGACTGAGGTATTGAGGTGTTCCTCAAAGGTTAAGGCTGTTACCGATGCAGGCTTTCCTGAGCCTCCTGCAGCAGGCTGTCAAAATCCATGGTCTCGTATTTGCTTTTTACCGGGGCCAGGGAGGACTCTTCTGTGCTGGAATCTGCAATCAGGAGAGACAAAACATGGATGTAACAGTACCCCAGGGGACACGTTTTGAACTTTTTTGGGGGGGGCATTTCTCACATTTTGGGGATAGTACAGCTAAGTGAGTGCTGCTTAACTTATTGAACTGCACGTACATGGGCACACATATACATACGCACACACAGGTACATGTATGTGCACGCGCGCACACACACACACACACAGTAAATGAAGATGGATAAATCCTGCATCGCAAAACTGCATTACATTTGAAATCTTTTGCAGGTATTCAGAAATGACATATCAACACTAAGGATTTCTTTACACAATCAACTGTCCAGGAATGGCTCAATTAAAGTCCTTCAACCTGCATTTAAACAGTGGCTTTTGGGGGATGAATTAAAAGTGTAAAGGCACCATCCTATGGATGGTTAGACAGAAAAAAAAATCCAGGGAAAGCTAGGAGTCGCAGGCCTTTTTCCTACCGAAACATGCATAGGAATGTGGGAAACGCAGAAGAGACTCCTTGGCAAAATGGAAAATGCTTGATTCACCTCTTTTAACTCAGGCAAAGAGGTCATCTTAATAACAGAACTAACAAGACAGCTAAGTGGCTGAGATGTGTCCTTGCAAACAAAATGAACTCCATCCAAACTCATAAGCATCCAGGGTCGGTGATGGGCTGCAGGTGACCTAAGTGACAGAGACTTCAATCTAGATAGGATGGGGGTGTTTTTGGTTAAAAAAAAAGTCTGACTGGGAATCCAGCCTGTTACGGATGGGGGGGGTATCCTCCTCATGTCCTGAGCCCAAGAGTGCGCCTGAACCCAGCTCTGCTCCCACAGCAAGGTCACACCTGCCTCAGCCACATCCCCTACTGCTGCCTGCTCTGCGTGGGGCTGCAGTAAGGCTGATGGGAGTCCTCCTAAGCTGGAGACGACTCAACAACATGTAACAACGCCAACAACAGTGGCTGGTTTACCCAAGTCAGAGTATCTGGTCCAGAAAAAGTGTCCAAAACCTCCATAACTCAGCTGGAACAAGGGCTCATTTCTTTTCCTCAGTGAGGCACCATTCTTCAAGGATAAGGCGGCATGTTCTGAACACCGGTATGTGATGATGCCATATTTATCTCCCCTGAACAATGAAAGAGAGAATGTAATGAGCATAACCTGGAAAAAGGCATTAGTTAATCTGTTAACATTTTTATCCCAGGACTCCTCCAAAGGAGCTCAAGGCACATCGTTTTATCTTCAAACAAGTCAGGTTAGGCAGAGAGGGAGGCTGTCTCAGCTGCCTTTATGGTTAAACAAGTGCCAATCCAGGTCTATAGTTCTGGATCCAGCATACTCTGCTTACTATACTGCACTGGCTTCTATATCCTTTGCCTCCTTTGGCAAAGGACACTTTAGCCAGGCTTTGACAATTTACTTACAGTGAGATCCAGGGTGGCTTCGGAAACCATCTGAACTCAGAGGATTACAGGCAATGAATGGAGGGTAGGAGGATGGCAAAGGTAAGCTTTTGATCATCAGCGTTTTAGCCTTGCTTCCACTAGAAACTGTCTAGTGGCCATAGGACTACACCCTTATTATGCGTATGAGCATTAATATCCTGCCCTTTTGGTAGTTACACATCACTCAGGACAGTGAGCAACAATTAAACCAACCATCCTGACTAGCGTCTGGGAGAGGCGGGTGGGGGTGGAAGAGACCATGAGACCTGAGTTCATATAGTACTGCAGGAGCCCCCAGCATGACCCAAGGGCACCCAACTTTTAAATGTATTTATTTATTCTTATTTTTAAACACACCTACATGGACTTTTAAAGTATACATACAACTTTCTAGAAATTATACATGAGTTTCCATAAAACATTATGTTACATTTATATTCTGCCTATAGCCAACACTCTCTGGGCAGTTCACAACATTTAAGTCACCCATCCAGATTTCAACCAGACCTGACCATGCTTAGCTTCCAAGATTAGGCAGGATCAGGCACTTCGGGCTATCAAAAATAGCATCCATTCATCTATATGCCATCCCTTTGAATACTAAAACAGTATTCATTCAATATTCATTGCATTATAGGAGTTGATCCTTCAAGTATTCTAATAACTGTCTTTTAGCTGTCAAAGGGATGCAGAGAATCCATGCCCTCTTCCATTTGTTAATTTCCATGAAGCAAATAAACAATTTAAAAGAGCATGTACAACACTGAATATTGTACACAGGCGTGCACACACAAAACTAAGAACAGAGACAGCTGCAGCAGACAAACAGGCACTGGGACACAAGTTTATTTATCAGATAAACCAAACACCTGCCAACACGGGAACAGTTTCGCCATATGATTAAAGTGGACCAGTTTTGCTTCTTGAAGCAAGAAGCTGCACAATTTAGACACCCAAACTTCAACCAAGCATTAACCACACATTTTCAAGCTTATCTTTCCAGTCATAAGGACTGCAAAGTTGCTTTAAAAAGAAAATGGGAATCCTCAGACGACAGAAGCATGGACTCAAAACTGGTACCATCCCAGAATCATGGAATTCATGTAATTCTCAGTATCTTCCCCCACTCCCACCTCTCTGTTCTTATCTCCCTACATGTGCTCCTCCAGCTGCTTCACCTTCAGCTGTCCAAAGCGCTCTCTTCTATCTCACAAATGCCACCATCTTTTCTTCCTCGTTTGTTTATTTATCTATACCACCCAACAGCTGAAACTCTTTGGGTGGTTCACAAGAGCACATTAAAAATACAATAAACATATACCATGTTAAAAACATATTGTCACTCCATATGCTTGGGAACGAATTAGTCAAGTAGCAAAAGGCATGTGATGCAGCTGATGGAAGTATGAGCCTAAGGCTGCAACCCCGGGCCCACTTCTGAATGCAAGAAGAGCCCTGCTGAATCGGTCTCTGGGAATTATGGGAGGTGCCATCCAACAGCTCTGGATGGCACCAGGATAGGAAAGGCTGGACTGCCTTGTCCAGCATGCAAAGACCCAGAAGTGAGTCTCACTGAAGTCAGTGGGAGTTCCTTCTGAGCAGACATGCACAGAGCTGAGCTGTGAGAGGCTTCTTGCTTCCTGCGTACTTGGTGTCTGCATTCATGCTAAACTCGGTAGGTTGTCAGGACCAGTGATGGATCTTCCATGTGTCCTCTGGACTGTTTCCATGTGTCTTTTATTTAGAAACAACATAATTTTATTACCCTGCCAGTCCATAAAACATTAAAGCGGCACCTTTCAAAAGATAATAGATCCCACGGAATGACCTGAAACTCTTAGAATCCCATAAATAAGCATCCCTTCAGTTCAGCATTGTAACAGAGAAACGGACACTTCCCCAAAGAACAGACATTTCCAGGGTCTCCCAAAAGAAACATTCCCCTCTCCTCTAATTGCCAGTAAGAAAGGAGTCATGAGCCTCAACTGTGGAACAGAAAAACGAACTTCCCAGTATTAAGTGCTAACAGTGAGGGAGGGGAAGCATAACTCTGACCCACCTTTTATTTCTGGTCAAAACGCAACACTCAACAATCTCTCCAAACACTTCAAAACGCTTCTTCAGTTCACTGGAATTCATACTGCTGGCAAGGTTTCTGATGTACACTACACGGCCTTCTCCCTGTCAATGGAGAAGAATCATTGCTTAGGCCCATCCCAACACAATGCTCTTCACGGCTGAGCCCCTTCGCTGCTGGAGCCAGTAGGATGGGGGGCCCTAAGACAGTCTTAACTGGACAAAGTCTACTGGACAAACAGCTCTTTCAGTAGCTGCTGCTACTATTTCTTCATAACTTGGATTATGCCTTTGGAAAAGGCAATCTTTTCCAGAGCTGCATATTCTCCTTTATTTAATGCATTCTAATGGAAACCTCTGTGAAACAGTCCCTCAAGGATGTGAATTAGAAGGCTTGCCCAAAGCTCCTTCATGGCCTTGTTTAGGAATCCACTATCATTAAGTGACTGATGTTATAAGAAAGTGTATGTGGTCCAGGCAATCCAAACGACCAGGGAACCTGATGTGTGACGGGGATGGAGAGAGGAATGGGAGCATCTGGGAGCAGGGTCTGGCCACCCGCAGGGAACACAAGAATGCAAGGGAAAGAGGGAATCTACAGCTGCACATTCTGTTCTTCCCATTGTGTTAGCATCTGTTGCTAATATAACCGGTAACGAGTTTACATCAATCACTGATTCTACTTCACAGGGTTGCTGTGAGAACAAAACGGAGAAGAGGAGGAGAATGCCACTGCCTTGGGCTCCTTGCTGGAAAAGCAGGATACAGATACAACAAACAAACAAACAAACAAACTTGCCATTATTCCACTCCTCCACTTGGATGACTTGTCAGTGCAACCATATAGTAGTGGGTGACTGAACAGAGTTCAGAATCCACTTAATTCTACCAGAGCACATGCTTGCCACTTGGAGGCTGCAAACTCCTGAGCTGGGCTGGGGAGATCCTGAAAAGAATCCAGGAGCTAACTGCACTCAATCTAACAAATATTTTCTTCTTCTGTTTTCTTTTTAAAGAACAAGGAAAGCAAGGCAGAAGAAGAAAACTGCGGATGTTTACAATGGTGAGACTTGAACCAAAGGTTGCCATGATTTGAGTCAATGAGTGAGAAATGCAGTCTCTTAAGTATGGCCTCTTGCTTTATGTGCAGTGCTACAGAGATGGCTCGCTTGCTGCACAGGCATCAATCGCTGGGAATTAACAGTCCCAGGAGTAGTAGAATTCTTCTGCAAATGTTAGTGTTACAGCCAATCTCAAAATCCCATCCCTAAAACGTTACAATACTGAGGGAATGATAGACTGTGGAAAAACAAGTAGTAAAAATCTATATCCCAAGGAATGGTCTGACGATAGCATCTTGCTGAAACAAAATAGGTTTGGATCTGGTGAGTAGCTGAATGGTAAGTCACCTTGAGTTGCACTGTGGAAGAAAGGCCGGATATAAATGTACTAACTGAATGAATGAGTTTGACCAAGAGGCCCTGCAGAGCAGTAGCTTTCAGTGTATTTCCCTCCTGCTTCGGTGGTGCTCTTTGTACTGGTGGTCTTCTTTTGTCTGCCTGACTTGCTTCAGTGATGGCAGGTATTTTTACAGTTCCAACCATGACCGCTCTTTACATGGATGAATTCTGCACCAGGTTCTTCCTGTGCCAAGAACTCAGTGTATTGCCTATTGCTTCCTCTTTATTTTTTTCTAATGTGCTGACCCTGTACCAAGGGATATTTCTTAAGACCAGACAAAATGTTGGTGTCACTCCTAACTTCTGCCTAAGTGGAATTTGAACCAAAATTGCTTTGTGCCCAAATCTGAATGGATTTTAGAAGGAAGAAGTAACCTGATCTGAATGGAAACTGCACCGTTTCCATTTCGTTCACTGAAAAACCCATGCCGATCTCACAGCCCACTTACAATGGCTTTTTCTCTTTTCTTCTCCATCTGCCCCTGGTTGTTGATGGTTCCATCTTGACACTGCTTGCCATTTTCACTTCTGTTGGGAAATAAAGAAGCATAAGAATTCAACCCTGGGTGGAGTCTGGTTGAGCTGAATGCCACCTATCACAAATCAGAAGAAACACAAGCCTAAATGGCTGAGTCTGGCTCATCCGTTAAAGTGCTGTGGATTACATCTCTGGAATTCGGAAGACATGGGCTTGATACAGTGTCCAAGAAAAAGAAATGGAGAGGCACCAAATACAGGTTTAACAAATGGGAAGCCTCTAGGCCAGGGATGAGAACTTTGTGGGGACGGGGCCACTTAGTATCTGCAGACACCCCACTTCATGGGCCACACCTCTGTTGCCACTGCACCAGGAATTTTGGTGGTGCAGTGAGAGCAGGCAAAAAAAGCAAGCAAGCACACATACTGATCGGCTACCTAATTTCAATTTTAAAAAGCATTCATTTTTGGTCACAACTGCAACATCAAATTCTGGCAGTGCTTCAAGGGCCGCACCAGAGGGCAGCCACCTGGGTCCTGAGGGTCACGTGTTTATTTATTTATTAAAACATTTTTATGCCGCCCCATTCGCCGAAGCCTCGGGGTGGCTCACATCACTAAGTTAAAATAATTATAATATAAATTAAAAATACAAATATTAAATTAAAAATACAACAATACAGTATAAAATAAGCCACCCTGGCCAGATAAAATCCAAAATATTAACAATTAAAATGCCGCTTAAATAAAAAGGTCTTCGCCTGGTGCCGAAAAACAAATAACGACGGCGCCAGGCGGACCTCTCTGGGGAGCGCGTTCCATAACTTAGGCGCCACCACAGAGAAAGCCCTCCTCCGCGTACCCACCCTCCTAATTTCTTTCACAGAGGGTTCCCAGAGAAAGGCCTCCCCCGCCGATCTCAAGGGGCGGCTGGGCATATATGGATGCAAGCGCTCCTTCAGGTAACCAGGACCCAAGCCATTTAGGGCTTTATAGGTCATCACCAACACCTTGAATTGGGCCCGGATTTCAATTGGAAGCCAGTGAAGCTGACGGAGAACTGGAGTCATGTGAACACAACGCCCAGTCCCCGTCAGCAGCCTGGCAGCTCTGTTTTGAACCAGTTGAAGTATCCGGACCATCTTCAAGGGTAGCCCCACGTAGAGTGCGTTACAGAAGTCGAGATGGGAAGTCACCAATGCATGCGTCACTGTCGCGAGGCAGTCATACTCCAGATAGGGACGCAGCTGGTGGATCAGCTGAAGCTGGAGGAAAGCGCTCCTCGCCACTGCGGTCACCTGAGCTTCCAGTGAAAGCTCCGGGTCGAGGAGCACTCCCAAGCTGCAAACCTTGTCCCTAAGAGGGAGTGCAACCCCATTCAGAACAAGGTTCAGTTCACCCTCTCTGAAGCCCGAACCACCAACCAACAGGACCTCCGTCTTGTCTGGATTGAGCTTCAGTTTATTGGCCCTCATCCAGCCCATTGCCTCGGCCAGGCACCAGTTCAGTACAGCCACCGCCTCATCTGGATTGGTGGAAAACGAGAGGTAGAGCTGGGTATCATCAGCGTACTGATGGTTCCGCAGCCCACACCTCCTGATGACCTCTCCCAGCGGTTTCATGTAAATGTTGAACAGCAATGGGGACAGAATGGACCCCTGCGGCACTCCATGGCA